CTACCAGTCTTTCACTCTCTTTTCCTCTCTCTTTATATATAGGTCCCTCATATATATATATATATATATATATATATATATATATATATATATATATATATATACATATATACGTATATATATATACTAGCTGCATCCCGTGCTCCGCCACGGTAAATCTTTTTAAAATATACCAACTTTGGAACAGAACAAAACAAACAAAAACACAACACAAACACAAACACAAACAAAACACAACCACAACCACAACACAACCACATTACAACCACAACACAATTACAACACAACCACAACACAACCACAACCACAACACAACCACAAAACAACCACAAAACAACCACAACACAACCACAACCACAACACAACCACAACCACAACACAACCACAACCACAACACACGGTAAATCTTTTTTAAATGTACCAAGTTGGGAACAGAACAAAACTAAATACAACACAAACGAACGCAAAGAAAAAACAAAAACGAAAAAACAAACACAACACTCAACATAAACTCAATTTAAATGTAATCATAAAGGCATATTGCTCACAGTCTATCCCGTAGCGCCAAATCGCGCCCTTTCCGAGCGCCGGCGGAAAATTTCGATTTACAACCCTCCCACCTCCCTCAAACTTTCGATTTCCACCCTCCCCCCCCCCCCCTCTTGCTACGCCTCTGTTATAAAACCCTTAGCTTTTCCGCAAATAAATTAAAGGCAGTATTTAGAATATCCGTGTTTTACCGACCATATTGCACTTTATAAATTCATGCATTTTTTTCAGTACTTTTAAAAATTTACAATAAAGTTTCATGACTAAAACCATTGCGCACCTAATGAACGTGATGACTTAATATAATAATGGAGAATAGTTGATTAAAAATTATAATTAGTAAATAGCACATTCTGTGAATAAAATAAATAAAAGATAGCCTTTTATCAATCAATGCTAATTATAATATTCCAACAATAATGTACTCTTACACGTCTGCATAATTTGCATTCACATTTTGCTAATTATATTATTCCAACAATTATTCCGTCTTGCAGATTTTGCATTCACATTTTTAGCGTGAGTTCAATTTATCTTTGAATTACCTCCATTGGCAAAATTACTAAGCAGTTTAATTAGATTTTTCTACCGTACTGTTATTATGTTATTAATATGTATCCACTTTTTCTGGGAATATTAACGAAAACGATATTTGACATTGATCCTTTTAATATGTTTTAGCAATGTGTGTGTATTTAATATTCTCTTTACGTTATGCAAAATTGTACAAACAGTGGAAATTATAAAATAGCTCTATGCCGTTATATAAACAAACCCTACTCTATTACCTATAATAAGACACTGCGGTGCACTGAAAAGCACAGCATGGTGTGTAGTTTACTTTTATAGTCCCAAAATCTATAGCGATGACGGACGGAAGGACAGACACAGCCCGCTTATATTATAGATATATATATATATATATATATATATATATATATATATATATATATATATATATATATATGTATATATATATATATATATATATATATATATATATATATATATATATATATATATATATATATATATATATATATATATATATATATATATAAAATTAAATTTTACCTACCTGTAATCTTGATGTTGCAAACATAACAAGCTAGGTATAATTTCCATCCCCTCTTGGAACCTAATCTCTGAGTTCTTTTGTTTTCTGTTATCCATTACAAACTTATTACCCCCCCCCCCCCCCCCCATCTCTTGGAACTCGCTATAGATTTGTTTTGCTACCAGCTGATGTGACCTAAAGTCTACTTTCATATGAGAATAAAGGCTACTTTTATTAGAGAATAAATGTCACCCTTTAAAGTAATAAAGGTATCTTCCATAGGAGGATAATACAGGCTACTGAGAGAATTCAGTATGTTCTTCTAAGAGAATAAAGGCTAATCTTCTACGACAGTAAAGCAGAGGCGTAGCGAGGGGGGTGGGGGGGCGGGCACATATCTCCCCGGGCGCCGATTTTATGGGGCGCCAAAATGGGTTGGAAAAACAAATTGAAAGTTTGAGAGGGGTGCTAATCGAAAGTTTGTCCCCGGGTGCCGGGAAGGGTCGCTACGCCTCTGCAGTAAAGGCTAATCTTTTAAGAGAATAAAGGCTAATCTTCTAAGAGAATAATGGCTACTCTTAAATTAGAAAGTAGTTTTCTTAAAGTTTCGTAAAGAAGTAACGGGTCAAAACACTGACCACAAATGCTCTGTATAGCTCATCCCATCTGCTTATGCTTCACTGACAACTGTTCTTTTCAGTCCTAGAAAACAGAAGGGCTATTCATCCTGACAACTGTTCTTTTCAGCCCTAGAAAACAGAAGGGCTATTCATCCTGACAACTGTTCTTTTCAGCCCTAGAAAACAGAGGGGCTATTCATCCTGACAACTGTTCTTTTCAGCCCTAGAAAACAGAGGGGCTATTCATCCTGACAACTGTTCTTTTCAGCCCTAGAAAACAGAGGGGCTATTCATCCTGACAACTGTTCTTTTCAGCCCTAGAAAACAGAGGGGCTATTCATCCTCAGTTCTATTAAGCTTCATATTATGATTAATATCCTTACTATGGCACCTCATACCTGTAAGATATTGCCCCCCCCCCAACTCGTATGCTCTGTTGTAAGGTGAACCAAAATGTAAACATTCTATTTGATTTTTGCGTGTGCACTTTTTCATTTCATTGTGTCTGACTCAGTAACATAGATCCGAAAAAATACACAGACACGTAACTTAGTTTTAAAAATAATTTTTTTTTAACTGACAAACAAAGAGTCCCCTTTACCCCTCCTCTCCCCCCCCCCCTTGCCCCCACCCACACACACACACTTGCTCAAAGTGAAACAACAAACTAGAGAACAATGATCAATGCGATTTATTGCTTTCCACTGCCGAAATGAAGAACACATTAACCTTCAGAGTTAAAAACAACAAAAGTGTTGAGAAAAAAAGTTAGAGGTTTTATAACACTTTTAAGCACGAACGCCTAGTGAAGTGAAAAATAAAACATATAATGCAGGATTAGCAATCGATAAACGGGTTCATGGAGGTTAAGTAGAAAAAAAAAAGTAAAATTTCAACATTTCAGGTAACAACTTGTAACAACTCGTCGATTGACCAGAACATTGGTTAGCTTCTGCTTTTTCTACTGCAAGCATAACACTTTAGCGATGTTCTTTAATCTTATTTGTAACAACAGGATATAGAGTTAAGCGTTTCTCGCAACAAAGCAAACGGGACGTAATTATTTCCGTGGTGCATCGCAGCACCATTTGATTTTTCCGCCCTTCCCTCGTCCACACCATAAATCTTTCGAGAAACAAAGGGTAGCTACGAGTTCCTTAAACCGATACATGCATTACATTTTTAAAGTAGAGCTCATATCACGAGAAGAGAGATACATTTGTCAAATTGAATTTGCATGCAAGGGCGGGGGACTTTGTTTACTAAATATCATGTTTTAAGTAAACTCAAGCGTAGAAATGTAATTATAAATAGTTGTAGATTTTTAGAAAAAAAAATGTAAAAATCATAAGCTTAATTAAAAGTTTGCGCAAAATCGATGTTAAATGTGTCGTTGGTGTTACTATTAATAGTATCAATACTGATTGCCGGGTGAACTTCATTGATCGACGCCTAAATGTGACTGCGTATGAATTGAATTTAAAAAAAAAAAGTATTAGCCAATCATAGCCACGGTTTGAGTTTGGTAAATTTTTAGGGGTCATTCATAAAATGACGTCATGATTTTAAAAATATTTTTACCTCTCCCCTCCCCAAGCTCAGATCTCCCCCCCCCCATACAAAAGACGTCTGGCCTCAGCCTATAACCCCCTCTAAAAATGCATTTTTAGTTTTTTTAAACTATTGAATTAATTTCTATTGCCATTTACGACTGTCTTTTAAAATTCAGTTTCCAACATTCCCCCCACACCCCCCCCCCCCCTTTTTTAGTTTCTAACATTCCCTTTTAAAATTTGTGTATCTTCACACTTTCTGACACCATCCCTCTACCCTCTCTCGTCACACGCCGTAGAAATAATTCCGAACCCCCTACCTCTCTCGTCACACGCCGTAGAAATAATTCCGAACCCCCTACCTCTCTCGTCACACGCCGTAGAAATAATTCCGAACCCCCTATCTCTCTCGTCACACGCCGTAGAAATAATTCCGAACCTCCTACCTCTCTCGTCACACGCCGTAGAAATAATTCCGAACCTCCTACCTCTCTCGTCACACGCCGTAGAAATAATTCCTAACCCCCTACCTCTCTCGTCACACGCCGTAGAAATAATTCCGAACCCCCTACCTCTCTCGTCACACGCCGTAGAAATAATTCCGAACCTCCTACCTCTCTCGTCACACGCCGTAGAAATAATTCCGACCCCCTACCTCTCTCGTCACACGCTGTAGAAATAATTCCGAACCCCCTAACTCTTGGCATGTGACGTCGTTTATATACGACTCTTAGAGTAGATATCTGTTTTTTTTCTTCATTTCTGACCCAATCTACATCTTAAAAAAAAGTATCTACATTTTTAACAGCGTTATAGTTACTGTACTAAACTTTAAATTTTCATATTTAAATTAACGCACCTAATCTGGACAAAAGCCCAGCACGTTTTCGATAATTAATTCATTAATTAAAACGATCGATACACAACGTTGACAACATCATGTGACGCAGCCACGCATTTCGATTTTTTAACATCCGGGGCATAATTTTGACTTAGACGTCCAGAGTATTTCATTTTCTAGGCCAACTCGCCCCCCCACCCCCCTACACTTTTTATTTTTACATACGATTAAAATATATTGGCCTACACACATACGCACTAACATAAAAAAACAACACACACGGCAAGTACCTCCTCCCCTCCTGACTTACACACACACACTCACACACACGCACCTCCCCCACTCATCACGTACGCACACACACACACACACTCTCTCTCTCTCTCTCTCTCTCTCGCAATCAACCGTTAGACATAAGCCTACGCTGACTGTCACAGGTATGTGTTGAGGCAAAGCTTGCCCGCAACACATGTGGGGAAACAGCACAAACAAAGCCGTGTGACGTACGTTTATTTATGCCGTGGCTGATCCCTGCGCCATAAAACATTGACTTCCTTGTCAAACCCAAAACCCAATGAAAACATTTTTTTTCTTAACCGTGCCTTACTCCTGGTTTTAATAAGGGGAGAACAGACTTGCCAAATAAACATACGTCTAACCATTCCCACTTCTAAATAACATGTTTAGTTTAAGTAATATTAAATCATAAATCTAAAAAAATAAATAATCACATTTGCGTTATTTAATTTGATAGTTAATTAAGTTAATTAACCTTAAATAATAAATTGCAGACGTCCGAAATATATAGCTACAGACGTATAAATCTAAATATAAACAAAATAGTTTTTGCAGTTACACCATTTACAAAAAGGGCAGTCCATGTATGAATTTGTTCGCGAGGACAGCCACGGCATACGGCAGATGATTTACTCTCCTATAACACCATACCATTCAGATAGAACAAGGGCCATAACTGCTGTAGCCAACACTAGAGCAAGGTCTGTCAAAGATAAAAAGAAAAGAAAATTTTCGGAACAGCTTTATACGGGCAATGTCATTCTTTGTAAGAACCTACGTTAGCATACATAACAATGGGAAAATGAAAAAAAAGCATAATATGTAAAATATTTCAAAACGAAAAACACTGCAAAAAAAATAAAATTTGTCAAAAATACTGACTAAAACTGTACACCATCTATATACTACTAAAACTCAACTTTGTTTACATGTTTGAATATTTATTTGTTTGTCTGATTTCGTACTGTAAGGAAACTGCTGTATATGGGGGGCTGTAAAATAGTATGTAGGTAGAGAATAATTTTTGATTGCAGACAGACTGTTAATTACACATTTTTTTAAAGACGTTAATTAATTTATTGATTTATTCATAGGTAGATTAACCACATTTTTAAAAAAAAAAGATTAGAAAAGCCACTAGACTCGACGAAACAGTGACGTCACATTTTTTTGGTTTACCTTTTAGTACAATAAAATGGCGGCGTCTAAAGAAGAAGATAGTGTTCCCATTCCAAAGTTTAACGCGTTCTAAAGCTAATTTTCTGTCGGCTATAACTTTAACAATTCGTCCGTTTGCTGTATTTATTACGTTCTAACACTTAAAATCAATTTTCAACTGTCTTTCTCATTTAGTTTTACGATAAATTTCTCTAGATCTACAGATCAGCTGTCGAAGGAAGAACATGTTGTTATGAAATCTAGATTTTAGATCTAGAAAATCTAGATCTAGGTCACTAGACTTTACGTAAATTCTAGATCTAGACTTAATGCAAATTCTACATCTAGAATCTATTTCAGGACTTATTTTATATAAATCTTTGTTTAGCTTTAATGACCATCTAATCCGAGAATACATCGGTTTTATCTATCTAGGTTCTAGAGCTAGATATAGTAGGATTACTCGCTTTATTGGAGGCGTGGTCGGTTGCTAACAACAATGGCGTCCGGACCGGACGCATGACTTCCGACTATTTTTAGGCTATGTTTACCACGAGCAAAATGGCGGGTTTTCACGTTATATAAACATGCTAAACGAGTCGTAGAATCTAGATCTAGATAATTCTATCTAGATCCAGATAATTTCAAATCTTCATTATTTTATATAAATCTTTGATTGGCTAATTTAAGATAAAATTTAATTTGAAAGTTACTACTACTAGACTTAGATCTAGATCTATGCGCGTAAATCAAGTTGCATGAGGAGACTCAAAGTATTAAACTATAGTATAAAAAAAACATCTGTGATGTCACGAGTAAAATAGCTAAGTTCTTAGTGTAAGCGGCTTGCATGCGGGTGGCACAGGTTCTAGACCAATAAGTCAATGATAATTTTTGTTATCATTTTTTTATAGATGTGAATGATAAAGTTGCCTATCTGAACTTGACAGGGTACAGGTCAGGTAAAGTAGAGTTAATCTGTTTCTTTGTCCTTAGCATATGAAGGGATAGTGTGGTCAGAGACATGCTCCGCTGGAATCGTTTTTTTAAACGATAAAAACATGTTGTCTGAGACTTGGCGGGACACTGGGCAGGTGAAGTAGAGTTGAGTAGGTCACCTGTGACGTTAGTATATGAAGGGATAGTCCGAAATCAGTGTTTTCGGTGTTTTTAAAAGATAAAAAAACTTCTTTTTGAATGTGGGGTCTGGTTTTTTGTGACAATAAGTGACAGACGTGATGCTTTTTATGGATGACCCCCGAAACCCACAGTTATCCAACGGATGACGGGTAGTCTAGTAATGTAATAAAATCATAAACTATGATTTGTGTTTGTATATATACACGTGCACAAGTGTAATTTTATGAATATGGCAGACGTAGCCTATCCACCTAAATAAATTAGCACCAACACAGAGAGTTAGCAACAAATTCAAATTACCGGCATAGCCGACAGCAGCAAAGTTCGTTGAAACTGAAATAAAAGTAACGATTGGTCTTGTGATACCAAATAAGTTTAAACAAGGAACTTTTTCCTTGAGTTACACACACATATATATATATATATATATATATATATATATATATATATATATATATATATATATATATATATATATATTTCAACAAGTTTGTTTAAACAAATTGTTTGACGTCTTTTAAACATCAGTGTGACTGATGCAATATGTTAGCGTTACTAATGGTCTATAATTAGATGTTCCATCTCAATTTCTGTTTGGATTATCTAAAAATAGATGCTAATTGCATCATTCGCAAAGTGAAGAAACTGGATTTTTTTTACGGACAAAAAGAAACATCACAGTTAATATTTAATAATCTAATCTTCGTTAATTTCTTATTATTAAAATAAAACGTATTACATGGCCCTCAGGTGCCCATGTGAGCCTTTGGGGACCGAAACAGACATTTTTAATTGCAGCCTAATCACACCCTACCAGGGCGCCAGAGCATTCAATTTAGGGAGCGCTTGTAACGCCCCATCCTATCCATTGCCTATCACGCTGTTTAGACCGAACGTAGTCACCATAGCGCTAACGGGAAAGACCAGGGCGCCAAATCGCATCCTGCCGGGGGGGGGGGGGCGCACATGCAAAATTAAATCTCCCCGCCCCCCCCCCCACCCACCTCTATTCCCCCCCTCCGACCCCAGAAACCTTCTCGGGAGTAATCATCAACTCCCTAAGGTTTTAAAGCACCGGGATAAACTGTGTCGAACCGCAATCGTCTTTTATTTTTATATACCGTTGGGCCTATATAGAGAAAAATCCCCTAATTCCGTGGCGCCGCCCTTGCGAAACTAAAAAAAAAAGATTTTTTTTACAGATCCTTCCATGGAGTGTTCTAATCAACTCCCCAAAGTTTGATGACGATCGGAATAACGCCGCGAAACCCGCAATCGACGTTTATTTTTATATACCGTATATAGAGAAAATCGCACCCTCCTGTGGCGCCGCCCTTGCGAAAATAAAAAGTAATTTTTTTAACAGAACCCTTTCCTGGAGTGTTCTAATCAAGTCCCCTGAAGTTTGATGGCGATCGGATGAATGGTGAGAAACCTCAATCGATTTAAATTTGTATATACCGTATATAGAGAAAAAACAAATCGCGCGCTGCGGGGGCGCCACCCCTACGAATTTGAAAATGTTTTTTGCGCCAAAAATCTCCCCAGGAGTATTCTCAACATTTTCCCAAAATTTCATGGCGATCGTGTGAATAGTGTCACCCGCAATTCACGTTTATTATTTTTATAAACCATATATAGAGAAAAAAACGCACCCCTCCCGTGGCGCCGACCTTTCGAAATTAAAAAAAAATTATTTTGTAGAACCCTTTCCTGGAGTGTTGTAATCAACACCCCAAAGTTTGATGGCGATATGATGAATGATGAGAAAACCGCAATCGACTTAAATTTTTATATACCGTATATAGAGAAAAAACAAATCGTGCCCTACGGGGGGCGCCGCCCTTGCGAATTTGAAATATTTTTTTCCACAGAAACCCACCCCCCCAGGAGTATTCTCACCCTTTCCCAAAGTTTCATGGCGATCGTGTGAATGGTGTCACCGCAATTCACGTTTATTATTTTTATAACCATATATAGAGAAAAAACGCACCCTCCCGTGGCGCCGCCCCTTGCGAATTTGAAATTTTTTTTTCCGCAGAAACCTCCCCAGGGAATATTCACAACAACCCCCAAAGTTTCACGGCGATGTGATGAGAGGTGTAGTAATGCATAAAAGAGACACACACACGCACGCACGCACGCACCCCCCCCCCCCCCCCCCCACATACATATATATATATATATATATATATATATATATATATATATATATATATATATATATATATATATATATATATATATACTTTGTTTCTTGGGGGGTGACACAAGGATGTGCCGCACCGGGTGACACCAAAACCCAGGGACGCCACTGTATGGGACAAAAGAGAGAGGGAGTTCAAATGAAAGCTTGTAATGAACCCATCCCA